AGAGGAGTGTAGCATAAATTAATAATGGCTACCTTAAAGGGATTTTGTCACAGCCAAGAGTGTATTAACCGGCTTTCACCACCTGTTCTCAGCCTCTCAGCCTAACAAGACCTAAGTCAAATCAATAAAGACTGCCTTTTTCACTATGTAGCTACACTGAAATACACTGTGGCACTGCATATGAAGCCTAAACTGCTCTGACCAATATGTTAGATAGTTATCAAATAGATTTAAGGTCCCACTTCAAAAAGGATTTCACTGCATATATTCAACACAGTATATTTAATGTGGTGCGGTGTCATGAGTGATAAACCACCAGTGTTTCATTCCACATCCAGTCTGGTAATTTTTCCAAAGTGCGGACTGCTTTTTAACAAAACTACAAGTTTAAAGCCCATGCTGTGATCAAGAGATCACTAAAGCAGCTAACCTCAACCTTAAGCTGCCTATTAAATTCTACCTAGACGTTCTGTGTACAGTACTCTAGTCCTTGTTTGAGAGTGACACAAAGGAAAGCTCATAGTGTTCAAAATGGAAAAATCTTTAGTAAAACATAAAGGTTTGGGTCTAATGTTGCCAGGACGGAAGGATAGGATCATGAAAAACGTTTGAACAACAGGATCCATCTTCTGTGTGATGCCAAAAACCAAGAATCTGACATTCCACAACAATCTGACCAGTTTTTAAAATCTTCTCACTCTGGACTTGAACTCCATAAAATGACATTTTACCCAAAATCTTTTAAGCATTAAACACCCAGCAACTGTACAGTACTCTAGGAACATGGGGAATACTGCTGGTATGTTGTATGGTCCCTTAAAGTAACTACAAGTTGATTTAGATTCTTTAGTTAAAATATTGCTGTTAACCACAGTCAAAACGCTGACTCTGACACTTTCTTTCTGTACAGGCTCAGTTTCTGTTCAAAAAAACCTATGAATTTAAAAACATTACCATCGAGTCCGTGAGGTGAGTTGGACCTACTGGATCAGATCGTCCATACGCATGATTTTAATCAATGAGTAATTTTTCTTACAAACTCAACACAAGCAGATCAAATCATCAGTCATTTTCAGGTCAAATACTCGATTGAAATAATAACCCGGCTTTCACCTGTAGGGCTCTGGGTCATGTTGCCGGTGGAATGAGCTGTGACTTTTTGAGGCTTTGGACCAACGATACAGATTTTGCAGAGCTGCTTCAGTTTGTTAGTGAGCTGCCTGGAGGCACGAGACCTGCTCTGGTGAGGAACATAAACTTCATCACCCCTCAAACTCTTTGTCACGATCTCTGACAAGCAGCCATGATTCATTCGACTGATTTGCTAATGCATTAAATGAATATTGCCATAACAAACTGAAAATGTTAAATACTAACAAGTTTAGACGTGTTTTGGCTGTGTTACCAGCGGAAATGTATCGTAGAGGAAATAAGGAAACAACCTGAACTCGACCTCAGTGTTTTGAGCTCTGGGTTTGCTGTGACATTACCGTAAGTATCTCTTTATTAAACATGTATTTTACTCTTTTTCATAGATGTTTTACAGTTTATCCAAACATTATTATAATGACACTTTTGCTCTGTTCTTTTCCAGAGTGACGATGATAGAGAACCTCTCTAATGCATCCTTCAGAGCCATTTTAGACCACATCCACACACGCTTTGCTGATTTCCTCAGACTGCCACATTACAAGCAGACGAATTTGGCTGAGAAGGCCGTGACTGAGCTGGTAAAACACAATATGTTTTAGGTAGAAAAGTGTAATCAGAAAGCAGTTGTTGCATGTAATTTATAAGCATCATTCAGAAGAAATAAAATTTCCAAATTAACCTCAGGGTAATTTAAATGAGAAACCATAACCATGAGTACCCAGATTAAAGTGGAACTCAGAGATACTATTTCTGGTCAAATGAAATCAGGGCTTGCGTCAGTGATGGTGAGTCATGTATTTGGTTTGTATTAATGGGGCAGAGAGAACAAGCTGGTTTGTGTGTGCTTGCTTGAGAAGCCTCAACCAACAAATGTTGGGAGAGAAAACAGATGGAGAGGAAGATTCAGGCCATAGCCTGCTTCATCCTTGCAACAGCTTTTCACACAAGTGAAGTCATATCAGTGTGAAATCCTTGTAATCCAGGTCCCCTATGTGCATGTGGTGCTCTGCAGGGCTCTTCTCAGGCTGAGGAGGAGATTGACGGCACCACTCTAGACATCCTGGGGCCTTTACTGCCTTTCTTGGACCGGGACAGTTTGGCCCTGGTGGACAGAAGAGCTCTGGCTCTGCGGCTGGAGGAGATGAGAGGTTTCTGCCTTCCTAAAGAGGCTCTGAGAGATATTAGTGCCCTGCTCACTCAGAAAGACTTACTCAGGTAAAGGACTACATTTAGAAAACACTACAGGGTCCTGGTTATGACACATTGGTCATTAATATGTCATATATATGTCATATGTTATAGACAGGTTTAAACAGTATGTATTTTTATGATATTATTAAGAATCAAAGTGTCCAATGATTTAAAAAAACGACAAATTGGCCACATGCATACTACCAAAAACAAACAAGCAAAAACTGAAAAAACAATCACAAACAAGAGTAATTATGAAATATCAAGACATAAAATGCTTATTCCTGTGGTGTTTTATGGCTCTATAATGGTTCATTTTCTGATAACAAATGTTGATTTCAAGGCTGAATGCTTGGCTCTTAAATTCCAGGAAATGTTTCAGGTGGCTGTTCATGAACTCATGTTACAAACTAAAACAAGATTAAGAGGCTACAGCCATTCTAGCAGCTATTTTGCAAGCTAAGGCTGATGGAAATTTGGTTACTTTTGCATGTTTTTAAACATAAAACAAAGTACAGATGAACAGAATTCATATGATATAATACAAATTGAAATTTCGGCCTAATGGTGGTGCTAGATGAAATGTTCAAAGATACCAAAGTCTTTAGGATTCATCCTGGGCGACCATGAATGTCTGTATCAAATTTCATGGCAATCCATTTTAGAGATGTTTCATCCTGGACCAAAGTGGTGGTGGACTAACTGACAAACTTATCCCATATTGCTAGATATATTCAGTCATATCAGTAAAGGATGCCTCAACATTCACATATAAGTGAATATAGTAAACAGAAATTTTGATCAGGGAGTAATAATTCATACGTATGAACAAAATACCTTCAGCACTTGTTAGTTTAAAGTAGTAGAATAAACCTAGGAGAGCAGAACAGTTTGGATTTAGTCTAAAATACATTCTCATGCCTGAAAAAATCAGCACTGTGCCTGCAGTAAGACAAGGATTACTTAAAACAGCAGCAGTGGTAAGATTTGTGATTTGTGATTTGTGATTTGATGCCAGGGAGCCTTCCACTTGGCAAGTTGGAGATGTTGAACATTTGGGCAGGTTGGTGTTTTCTCTCTCAACAAAGCAGATTAACACCATCCCACTGGTAAGCACCCAAAAGCACCATCCCATGCAAGTAATTCATTTCACTGCAATTTGGTTTTCTGAGATTTATCCTAACAATTTCATGTGTTATTGCTGTGCAGACAGTGTTGAATCAAGACACGGTGGAGCAGGTGCTGGTGGGTCAAAGGCGCTGGGAGGACAGTGAGGTGGGCGGAGTGTGTATCACTCAGTGTATGGACCAGCGTCGCCAGAGACAGCAGACCCAGAGTCTCATTCGAGGGATTGTCAAAGCACGGAGCAGGAGGGCAAAAGGTTCAATGAATATTTCCTGCAACTCCTAGTGCTGTTGTTACACTGTGTCTAATGCATTTTACCTACAGATAGAGCAACTGTTATCAGTTTACCACTCCATCACTTGTGACCTACACAGTCGATAAGTGTCTATGTAAATTGGGAAATTTCTTTGTGGAAGCTTCTGTAGCGTTGCAGTGAATCCACCACATGTGTCTCTTTGAGTAGCGCCAGTTCCAAGCTGTGCAGACATCAGAGGGACGTTTCCTTCAGCTTGGTCGTCCACTCAGCTCAGCCGTATATCGCAGGAGGATCTGAAACAGTGTATAGAGGTTTTTGGTCAGGACGCCTCGCTGAGCTCCGAGCAGCGCCGGTCACTGTGGGTGAAACTCAGGCAGGTCAGTAGAAACTCAGCTCTACTAAAGACCATGCAAAGTTTGGAATGCCTCGGCTCGTGATTTCTTTTGTATTTGTTTGTTATTTTCACTCTCATGTCTTCCACACAAACTGCTCTCCTCTACAGAAATATGAATACAACCTGTTCCCTCCCATGGATTGAGCAGACTCTGTTTGGGTCTGTCTGTAGGAATAATATGTATCATCCTCAAGATTTATTCAGTCTGACCTGTGGTGCAGCAGTTCTGTCCCCCACACAGATTTTTTCCCCATCAGGCTGCGACACAATTCTTGGTAAAAAAAAAAAGAAAAAAGAAATGCATCAGCCCTAATGATATAATCAAAATTTGACTATTGGTGTCTGAGAATTCCTGCTTTTATTTAAAAAAATAGCTTTTGCCCGTGGAATGTAAATTTGAAGATAAAAAGTAAGAAGGCCAGTAAACAGGCTGTTGCATCCTGACTGATGGTTTCCAACCCTGAGAGACAAGGACAGCTGAATAATACATGAGTAGTGTTTTAATATCAGTATAATCTATGTTTGTCCCATGCTCTGGTTCTTCACTTAATCCAGTCCTTCAGTCCGGTGAGAGAGCTGAGGGCGGAGCAGGTGCTGGCTCTGGGCTCAGTGGTGACTGAGATGGGAGAGAGAGAGCTGCAAGATGCAAATCTCACTGACCTGGGTGTGTTGGCACATCTGGGAACGCTGACAGGCTGGAGCCCTAAAAAGGTGAACTTTTGAATTTTTCATCCTGATGTAAAACTGCAGGAAAATGACACAATCTCAACTTGAATACTCTGCGGTAAATACTACTGTTTGCTGTCATTTCAGATGAGAGCAGTGATTTTGGGTGTGATGCGGAAACGCAAACTGAAAGTGGAGCAGTTAACAGTCGTTGATCTGGCAGCATTTGGCCATCTGATCTGTGGTCTGTATCCCTCAGAGATTAAGAAACTGACCCCTTACAATCTCAGGTCAGTCAGATACTTGATGTATCATTATTTTCATTCCCAAATTAATGCAACACTTAAAAAAAACTATTTAAACTATTTTGCCAAATTATCCATTATTTCCAAAGGAGCAATCACAACAATCATAATAACATAAGTCAAACACGAGACAAGTGACATCGACCAGAAGGAATATGAACAAAGTTGGACATATACAGTAAAAAGGAGTTGACAAAAAAAGCTAATTTTCTAATTTGTAAAAGTATAGTAATGAAACTCGGACTATGTGGCATTACAGAACAGCTTGCTTGTAGTTTTGAGAGAGAGACATTAATTGATATCACATACACCTGCTGACAGATGTAGGACGCACATTTCTGAGCAGCACAAACCTCATGAAAACGTTTTACACGCACTCAGAGGGATATAAAGTACTGAATCTTTTTCCTCAACCTGCAGTGTGGCTGTCCTGTTCCTGCGGGAGATGACCCTGCCATGCACAGAGCAGCAGATGGAAGCGTTGACAAGCCGGTTGTCCAGCCCGGAAGCCTTTGGTCCAGCCAGTGCTTGGGGACCAGAGGTCTTCACTGAAATTGGGACATTGGCAGGTACAGCACTGAGATAATATCCCTGGAGGTATAAACTTCTTTGCTATCAACTTTTTTTTTTTATTTTTTATTGCTTTTCTTTCAAAGAGTGAGGAGGGCAGGAGAAAGAAATGACAGTTCTTGGATGGATAGGCACAATTAAAAATATCCCCAAGGGTACAGACTTAAGGGTGAAAAAGGGCAGGTTTCTTTTTAAAACGCTTCCTCTGATTTTATATGAGAAACATTAATTATCTGACAACAGTGTTTGTCTCCTGGTCCAGCGGGCCTGGAGGATATGGTGCTGTCGGCTCTGGTACAAGAACAAGTGGAAGGAATCACCCCTGAAGCCATTGCTCTGATGTCACCAAAGAAGCTGGCAGTGAGTTTCACCCAGGAATTTAGGGCTATTTATTCAGGATAATCAACATAGCAATATCTAACGTCAGGACAGATACATGTGCATGTGCTGTATAAGTGGCATAAATGGAAGTTTTGACTAAATCGTTCGATGTTGAAATATTATACTTAGCTTCTACTGTGAAATAGAGGAAACATTACATCCCATTCCCTGCAGACATTTTGAGAAGTCTCATCAGGAAGAGTAAATAAATAATCAAAGGAATGATGGCCTAATTCTGTTTAGCTGCTTCAGTCTCAGGGTCCTGGTGTTGTTCATGCTGCCTCACTGTCACACTGGCATGACTTTCTGGGACACGCAAACAGAACAGAGCCATGAAATAGGCCAATAACAACTAAAGTACAATTTTTTTTTTTTAATGTTATTTATGTTCATAATATTTAATACATTAGGTCATTATCATGACATACTACTCTATTTTCTGTAAGTTACTAATTATTTAATGCTGAAAGACTTAAGACATTTAAGAAAAAAAAAATCAACATAAAAATATTCCTCCTTTAAAATACATCTGCTTCTTTTCCTTCAATAGAAAATCCAGGATCTATAAATACAAAAATTTTTTAATTTCAAATGTTTAACAAAACATCTCTTCACTGAAAATTCAGTGTAGGTGCACTCAAAATATCAAGTTTCACACCCATGTAAGCTGCATGCATACTAACATGCTACTTGTCAAACTGCACATACATCAGTTAACAATAAGCAAAGCACATTTCTGAGTGAAGGAGGACTTTAATGAAACTGGCTGACTCAGAAAAACAATCTGAGAATATAAACCAAAAGCAATCACAGTGCCATACTACATCTGCATTTCTGCCAGTAAAAAGGAGAATCTTATACAGAAAAAGGGCTGTTACAGTGGGTTGGGATACACATGGACTAATTAGGAATGGAGCAAGACGCTTATGCTCTCCAACAAAATCATACCGGACAAAGTAAATTGTGGACTCATATAAAGACATACATAAAAAGAGCATGCAGTAAGGGACACATAGAATATATTATTTTATTCAGGGAGAGGGATATCAATAGGAAACCCCCTTCCCATGTATATGTACATGTGATGGTTTAATTTCTTTACTGTCCATATTCATATTAAAAAATGTTGCCATAACGTTTGACAAAAGGGTGCTCCCTCTTTACCCTGGGTGCCTCCCCTCAGATGACAAAGTTTCCTGCAGGAGTTCGTGCTTGTGTTGGATGTCTGTCTGACAGGTGGTGTTCAGTGCAGTTCAGCTGTCGTGGCTGAGTGTGGAGCAAGCGTGGGCTGTCACAGAGGAGCAGTGGACTGAGCTGGACACCGAGCAGAGACACGCAGTTGGACTAGCTCGATATGAAGGAGACATCCTGCTGGAGCTGAGAGGTGCATCCACAGAAAAATAATTGTGATAAAATTTCATTTTAATAACCTGCTTCATAGTGAGTCTCTGAATGTTATTTTATCTATTTGAGTAAGTTTTTGTGAGCACTTACACTTTTTATTATGATATTACTTGCCTGTACGGAGCAACCAATATGATTTTTATGTTGTGTTTATATGGTGATGATAAACGCTCTGTTCCTCTGCCTCCACAGGGAGAAACCTGGCTCCAGCAGCCCTGAACACAGACAGCCTCGCTTTCTGCTCACTGGCTCTGTGCCTCTTGTTATGGCAACTAATCTGAAATGCTGGAACAAATTTAACTGTCCATTGACCTCTCTTGGTATCACCATCTTATTTGTACTTCAGATAAATATTTTGAACTGGTCTGCTCCCTCTGTGTGTTGGTCCTTTCATTTACATTACTCTTGACTGCTCTGCTGCACATATTTCACTTTTATGTGAATTATGAGCCTGGAAGAACATAAATCACTCTATGTAGCTGTACCATGTAGCTATACTGTTTTGTTAGAGCAATCAGAGGAAGTGATCCAATGACTAATGTTTATTTGACAAAATTTACAGGGAAGATGATAAAGCAGAAACATTTGTAATGACATTTTATTGCAGTGACTACACACCATGGTCGGACACTGAGTCTATAACTCATGAAAACATTTTGTCTTTTCTCAACGGAGGATAAAATTTGAATATCTTCAATCTTTTCCTTTAAATTACATGTTGGGGTCTATAAAATGTATTTATTTATAACTTCTATTAGCTCAGTAACACCTACCATTGGGCCCTGTGACCTCTATGGGAATCTTCCTTCCAGTAGGACCTAGTTTGCAAATTTAATTACAGAAATGCTTCAGATTTGCTGTATGAATCTTTTCTAAGTACAATACCTGTCTCACTGTTCTTTTATATCTAAACTTTATGTTTAAAGATAATTTATTTAATTGCACATTTAAGGAATTCGACCCACTTAGCTTAGTATTAGCTTGTGGTCCTGTCTAGTACAGGGTTCCTGAGTCAAACTCTAGTTTCAACACTAGTTTTATCTGTTATCGTCCTTGTGCATATTTCTTTTCTTTTTAATTATTTTTAGGGCATCTTATGCCTTTATTAGATAGATCCAATGGAGAGGTAACTGCAAATGAGGGGAGAAAGAGATAGGGAATGACATGCAAAAAAGGTCACCTGCCTTATGGGAACCAATAATGAAAGTTGGGTTAAATGAACTCATCATGAACTGTCTGACACAAAAAAAGTGAGACTTGATAGGTTAGTATTATTCCAGCATTAGGATAAGCCACCAGCTGGTCTGGGCAAATGATGGAGCTGTCATGTGCAGTTGGATGCAAAAGTTTAAGCACCTCTGGGCAAATTACATATTTTGCTGATTTCTGAAGCGAAAAGATGTAAATGCAACCCCTGCAGCACAGACATTAAAAATTAGCCTATCTTCAGATGTTAATGCACTGTTGCAGTCCCTTGACATCAACATCATTTAAAAATCTCTTGGTAGATCTGTGTGAGCCTAAAATATCCCACTGATAACTGATCTTCCCTCAGAAGTGATCTGAAGGAAGAGTTAGGGGAAATTTCTAAATCAAGAACAGAAAGACTTAGCTGGTTGCCAAAAGTGTTTGCAAGCTGTGACATCTGCCAAAGGAGGATTTACCAAGGGTATCCAAACTCACTACCCACAATTACTGTTTCTTTTTTTCCCTATTCTTTAAGTTTATGAAATAAAAACAGCACCTCCAAACAGGTTAATCTGGCCTAGAGGAAACTGGCAATTTACTGTGTCTGTCCTGTCAACACGTTTCTCTACCAAGCTGGCGTTTATTGGCATGCAGTCGGCTTCATACACGTTATTTATTACGCGCTTTTCAACTATAATAAATGTTCCACCTGGGTATAAACAGGCTGTTTGGCAGCTGCCAGCCTCGGCCCCAGATTAAGGCTGCCACGCGGCCTGTGAGCAGCAGGTGGCGGTGCAGCAGCGCCGCTGCTCGGTGAGGAGGTGTTGCTCTAACGTCTCCACTTTGTCCGCGGCCGTGACGTATTTCCTGGGGCTTGAAGGGACCACTCAGCTGTACACCGGAGGGCTATCATGACTATTTATAACCAGCGATTCTCCGTTATCTATTTTTCTGTCGCTTCACCGTGCCGTCGTCGGCACTAACGTCGGTTTGTGTGAGACAACAACAAGCCGGCTCGAGCAGAATGTAAAAGGAAGCTGGTAAATTGAGCCGTTTGTAAGTTTCCGTCTGCTCCAGCTTGTATTTTTACTTGTTTGGGCTTCGTGGCTGGCGAGTTTACCGTGCTCCCGGCTACGGGACCCCGCCACAGGACAGGACAGGACGGGGCAGGACAGTATATTATCTCATTGATCCCGCTTGCTGTTAGTTTTTGTGTGTCGGCTTGAAAGGGGGGGGTCTCTCTCGCTCTCCCTCGCTCTCCCTCTCTCTCTCTCTCTCTCTCTCACTCACACACACACATGCCTAGCTGACGTCGACTGCGCCGCGTCCGGTTTCTGTGGTTGTTCCTGCGGAGTGGCGAAAAAAAAAAAAAANAGGGGGGGGGGGGCTCTCTCTCGCTCTCTCTCTCTCTCTCTCTCTCTCTCTCTCACTCACACACACACATGCCTAGCTGACGTCGACTGCGCCGCGTCCGGTTTCTGTGGTTGTTCCTGCGGAGTGGCGAAAAAAAAAAAAAAAATCGTGGTGGTCGTGATCCACACTGCTCTTGTGGGAATGAGTAGTAAAATGTGAGAAAGCCAGGATCGGAAATGTTCGTCAGGGGTGGATGAGAGAAGAAGAAAAGGGGAGGCACCTGTGAGACGGAGCAGGTCAGCCTACCGCGGTGTCAAGTTTGCGTTAATCACGGCGCGGTACAGTTTCAGACATATTTGTCAAGCGGAGGAGTCTTCATCGGATCCGCTCCAGCCGCTGCTCCGAGCCACATTATGACTACGTGTTGTTGTCACGGACTTAACTTGTGAGGTGAGTCCACCGACCGCAAACTCACAGCGTTACTCCTGTCAGCTGATATATTTAAACCCCTTAACTTGAGCTCATAAAGTGTTAGGCGCTGCAGGCCAGACAGGGAGAAGTTTTCCTCCTTCCCCAGCTCTTCTGCAGTTAATCTCTGTTCCCTGTAAACACTCAGCACTGTGCGTGTTGTTGACACTTTTTGCTTTGCCTTTATTACTATACTCTTGATATGTGTGTGATTATGGAGGCTGTGGCGCGTAGATTCATTAGGAGTGAACTTTGATATCAGAAATGCAGATCTGTGAAACGCAGCTGTAAATGTGCCATTCAAAATATGAATCTAGGATGTTGTTTGTTTTTGAATTGAGTTAAGTTATTAACCTCTCTGGATGACTTGCTCCGATCTGCATTTCTTTCATGTACACTCTTTATCTGATGAAAAATAATCTGGTCAGATATGAACATTAACTTTTAAGTGAAAAGATAAAGTGTAACCCAACACTGGATTTTCAGTGTCACAGCAGATGTTACATTGAGATATTATGGGACGTGACCTGCTTGTGTTGTTTGTGCTTCAACTAAATCCAACAGTGTAATTTTACTCCTCCCAATATTGAGCTGCTGATTGTTATGGACAAACACTAGAACAAGGTTACAGAGCCCCTTGCATGCAGTTACATGTTCCAAATGAAAACAATGCTTCTCAAATAGACAAAGCATATTGTTCTGAATGTAAGTGTTGTAAGAGGGCCAGGTGGTGTCCATGTACAGTGTGATAACATGTAGCCGTGTCTTTATGTTGTGCAAGAATTTCCATTCCATACAAGCTCCTTAATGGAATTCACATGTGTTCCTGTTCTTATCTCTGGAAAACTGAACCCAGAGAGGGAAAAATTAGTTTGAGTTGCAGGCATAGCAGAAAATATTATGATTATCAAGTGTTTTTGTATGAAGCATTAATGCTGACATTGTTGCAGGAAGTCTGTGGAAGGTGTTGACAGCACTTGGTAAAAAACAAATGTACCGGACGACAAGGGTTTTGCTATTGTTTTTAAGTACTGTAATTAGGAGAGTCAAGCCATTAAACATCAAATGGGTTTTACAATAAAAATTCCTATAAAAAATTACAGCATACTTGCAAAGATCATAGAAAGGTCCACCCAAAAACCAATACTTTGTGAAAAATGGTGTCTCTGTCTACACCCTATGACACTGGATTGATGATGCTGACATGTTAAAGAATTAGGGGCAGATATTAATTAGTCTGCTGCCTGCCTATTACTTGGTAGCTTACTATGTCAGGGCCATGTTGTTGGTGTAATAGCTATAAACCCTGTGTTATACTCACAATCTGCCATGATGCTACTTCTCTTTATCGCTGTTTAGGATCTTATATGGTATCTGACTGGTGAAGTTATATCTCGCACTATTCATCGGGGAACGCTAGTGTAATTTTAGTGTTGTTTATGGCATATTAATGAATTAACTTGCAATCGCTATTGTTACTGTCATTTTGCCACGCTGCCACACACAGCTTGTTATTTCCCAAATACACTCTTGAGGGCTGTGTGAGTGCGCCTGCATTGAGATATTGATTTCTTGCGTGTCACAATGTGAGAACTAACAGTAATTATAAGATGTTTGAGTGGGAGCAAAGGGTCATATTGGATAAATGTATGTGAGTTGGTTTTTATCTCATTAGAATGTAAATAATAAACTGATGAGGTGTAAACTGTTTCCTTTTAAAAACATCCCGATGAGTTTGGTAATGAGGCTGCTATTATCCTTTGTGTTTAATCATACTTGGCTAATTATAATTTGGCATGGTTTTTTTTCGGTTATAACCTCTCCTATCACAGTCTGGCATATGGTATCATTTACTGTGGTAACACTAAAGACCACTCAGAGGGACAGTTGGCTTGTGCTTTATCTCTGGCGAACAGTAAAGTAGCTGGACAGTTGTTATGCCACAATGTGTGGTTTTCACGCTGACGTTAAGAAAACTGAGTGGTCGAGTGCCTAGATGAGGTCACAGGCGTCTGTACTTAAAATCAGAGTGAGTCTCGAAATCAAACAGAGCTTTGGAAACGTTCACATTCTGTTTACTTGTTGCCCCAAGGCAAAGAGGACAGGGTTGAGTGAGTACCGCAGGACTTTTCTCTAGCTTTCTTTATCTTTCTTGTTTACTAATTTTCATCGTGGGCTGTACTTTAAAATTTTGATGGATTTAAACCTGATAAATACTAAATATTGGTTTAAATAGCCAGAGTTAAGCTGCTGCTTTTGAACATGTCAAAATGAGGGAGAACTGAGATGGGAAGCAATTGTTGTTCGTCAATTTTTGTAGGAACTGAGCTGATGATTATAAAAAGTAAACATGTAATTAGTGTTGGTTGTGGATCCTCGCTACTTAGACATATGTGTTTTATGAAATAGGCTTAAATGAGCAGGAAACAAGGACTGAGAGGTAGTGGAGCAATGCGAGTGTTACAGTTCACCTTTGAGAGACACTTGCCTTGGCACCTGACTTGTTTTATTTGGTTTAATATACATGGCGCCTGTTTTTAATACTGTGTAGCTGTCTGTAATGTGAAATTAGCTGTTATCCAGGTATCAATGGAATGAACATCTACTGTTGAAATGCTCGGCATGGATTAGCAGCTTGTCGTGGCAGCTCACAGCCAGGCTGACCTGTAAGCTTGCTGATCGCTAATGATGCAGCTCCCTGTACTTTGGCTTCACAACACACTGAACCAAGTCTGTCTCAACGCTTCAGACATTTACTTGTCACTTTGCTTAGAAAACTTCTTGAGATATTGCTGTCAAAAATACTCTGGCCTTCATGTCTTTTCAGCAGTTTAAAGTTTTTAAGTCTTTTTAAGTTAAATTGTGTTCAACTTCACATTTTTATCAGTTCCAGGCATGCATTTGTTAATTGTAGAGGGTACAAGGGTTTCAAATATCGATTTGAATAGCCACTAACTAAACAAGGCTTCTTTTTATAATAAACATTTCAGGGTTGTAAGCAGTATGGCCAAACACACAGTCGCATATTTGTCAGCCTGTTATCTGTGTTAAGTCTGTGCCTGAGAGTTGCTCAAAGGAGTTGTTGTGACATTGTTCAGAGTGTGTAAATTCATGGGAATTATGTTTTAACGATGTAAGCAAAAGAAGAAGAAGAAATTATATTATCGAGGGAGTTCAGGCAGTCAGATGGGAAATTCAGTCACTACATAGATTGTTACAGTGGCAAGAGTAATTCTTCCTTTTAGGCCATTCATACCAAATTAATGAATACCTGATGGAGATGCATGTCTGAACTGTTGTTTTTTAAATATACATGAATTAATGAACATTTTGTGAAAGCTCAGTGTGAAAAAATTAGGATTTTATTTTCATTTACTTGTAAATATATACAGAAGAGTATCCCTACTTCCAAAGAAAATAAACAAGTATCAGAAGCTATACATGTTTGGTAAATACCTGTGAATGTGTAATTAAGTGAAACAAAATTCCTTATGTGTGATTTAATAATGGACTTAGGTAAATGAATACAGCTGAAAATCTAATCTTGATTAGAAAAAAAAAATCAGTGAACAGATGTTTGAAAAGGTTTGTAATTAGTCTGTGCATCATGGTCTAAGTGAATAGGATTAGACCAATTACAAAAGCCTGCAAAATTAACAATGAAATGTTAATGAAACAACACCGTTAATGACGGAAACCAAGCATATTTTTGACCTCAGCGTATGGAGCGATGGCTGTATAATTACTTAATGAAAAACTTCAGGGTAGGTGCAGCTATTTTAGCAACATGACTAATTTGATGCGAAATGGGCAACGGGTGCAACAAAGGGTTTTCGCTCGGGTTCTGGAGGGTTTAGGCTTAGGCTTGAGTGGTTTGCATTTTCACATCATTTTTCATTATCATTTTAATATTTATAAAAATACAACATAGTTTATTGTTTTTCACAGCACACACAGATGTTAGCAATAAGAAAAGCAAAACAAATATGCTTATTGATGAACTAAGTGTTATGTCTTGAAGTAATCCTTCACATTTTCATGAGTGATTGCACTGTGTGCTGTACAAAACATTGGTAAAACAAGGCTTACTGTGAATAGATTTGAACTGAGATGTTCTCATCCGCCCATAGCCATCTGGCTACTTAACAACAACATTGGGAGAACTTGTTTTCACTCATCATGAATATATTTTCTCTGTGGTAGCAAAGCCTGTTATACCAGCCTTCAGAAACTGCAGGTTCAACTGGGCTAATAAAACACTTTTTTCGGACTGACTTTCTCTGAAAGACTAAATTTAGTCAGACTCGAAAACACTCGCTAGCCTAGCTACATAATAAGGCCAAAAACAACCCATAATGCAATAATCTGGAAAAAGGACGTATTTACAATTGTACTCTCAATTACTTATAAAACTAAATTTAAAGACAAAAAAAATCGTCTAATATTTAGGTCAATACAGTATCCTTCCTCTCCCGATCAGTGGAGAACCCTCAGCATAATTTTTTACATTCATTTGGCTCAGGTGCTTAGACTGGTAGGGCAAATCCAGTAGCTTGAACTGCTTCCATTTCTCTAAGTGAAACAGAGGGCTGACCTGATGTCCAGCGGTGAAAGTTTGCTTACACTCAGAGGTCACTTTATAAGGTAGACATGTACAATCTACATGTGCAATCGAACGCAACTGTTAAGCCATAAAGGCCACGTTTATGATGGCTCTAATGTTCAGCGTCTGGTGACATTGTAGATGTGTAAATTGTTTATTAAGTTAATAATGTCACGTTAATAATTATTTTATTATTATTAATTTATTATTGAGAGGCTTGTCTAATCTTTTTGCCATTCCTATTGATATACATATCAATAGGAGGTATATAATTAAATGTATACATTTCTGTCACAATGTCACCAAAAACTGAGCATTATGGCAGTGCTGTTGTATAAGATTACATTACATTGTACAGGCCTACCTAATGAAGTGGCAACTGAGTGTATAAGCAAATTTAATATACCACATAAGTAAACAGACCTTACAACACACTGAAGTTGTTCATGATGAAAGAGAGACTGGATGCATCAACAGCAGCTTAGTGGTGAGGTTCACTAAGCAATGGATAGACAGTGGCTGGCAGCAAGTGACGCAAATTGTCTCCACCTAAACGTCTTCCCACAAATCAACCAGTACCCCAAATTCCTGAAGTTTTAAAACATTTAGTTGGAGAGTAAGCTGGTCAGATAGATCCGAGTAGGCAGCTGTTAATCCACAAACCAGCTCGACTCGTGGTAATAGGTAAATAACGTGTAGTCAATCATTTAATGTATTGAATTATAAATTCTTTTTTATATCAAAAGTATATTGAATTGAAAATGCACAGTGCTTTGCACAGTGGCTTGAATTGGTCATTGAGCATTTTTTAATATGAAATGCCTTGGTAAATTGTATAGTAAATTACTATTTGAGTGCACAGCAGATTGCTTCAGTCACATCTAAAAACATCATTCATTCTCCTCAACAAACTGTCCAGGGAAATTTTGAGGAGCTTGTTTGTTCATTTGGAGTGCGGCATGATGGCACGGTGATTTGAAATTCTCCATTTTGTCCATTGAGTAGCTAACCCTGGAGACAGGGCCATTATAGAAGGGCTATTACACCAACAAAATGACTGGAGAAACCCTGTCCCACTGTAGATTAGAATCAGGAGGAGAAATGTGACTGCATGCAAGTAGGAAACACAGAATAGTGGCGCTGTATTCAGTGCGGTCCAGTCAACTCGGGGTTACAGCAGGGTTAGCGCTTTGGATAATTGTCTTAACAGACTACAGCCACACCTGACCCCCTCCTAGCTCCAAACAACAGCTTAGAGGAAAAATTGTATCAGCAAATAATTAAACCATGAGCTGAGATCTGCGTCTCTGCTCACTCTGGCTACTGTAGCTATGCTATCACATGGTATATTGCTTTGTCTTATTCATAAGATTATTGCCATGGGCTGCCATTGCTGCCTCAGGCATTTAAACTCCACCCCTCGAGTGGCTACCTCACCTCATAGTAAGACTGACTCTGCTCTGATCCCTCAGCATCCAGGGCGTAGTCTAGCTTTCCAACCACACTTCTCCACCTCCTTTGCCAGCCCAGTATACCTAAGCATTTTCCTTTTGCAAACTTCATCTAGCGTATCCTCCCATGGGAGTGTAAACGCCAACATTTGCTGCTGTGTGTCTTGACCGCAACATCAGGCCTCGGCGTCCTGCTCACAACTTCCTGTGGGATTATCAAATGCCTGTACTTAGCTGGGCTCTAGCACGTTTGCTCAAAACTAATGTTGAGGTAGCTGTTCTTCTTCATGGACAAAACAGATGAATACATTATTTAATGTGTGACACATCAAGTTTACTCCCCTGTTCCTGTTTGAGTTCTATTCCTCTGAACATGGAAGCAGCTACAAAGGGAGGAACAAAACCTCAAGTGTTGACCAAGTCTTCTTCATTTGGCCTCATGTGAATAGTTTCCCTGTGAATCTTGACGTGCCTAGGTTACACAGGCTTCTTTTGTGTTACAGTTTTATGGCCATGGGGGATCACAAGGAATGATTGGCCAGTGACATCATCACCAGGCTTTCTGACCCTTTCAGACATGTAAATGTTTTTCTTCTTCTTTTTTGTTTCCCGTCAGGTGAGCTGTGACCGTTCCCTTCTTTGTCTCCCTGTGCACCTGCATGTACCGTGGGCAGCCCGGCCTGTCGGAGAGGCGTTGTGCTCAGAGATTGTGCTGCACTAGGAGAACCCATGGCTTCTGGCCCTCCATCTCCCTCTGAAGGGCGCAAGCTGAGGCTGCTGGAGTTGTTACTCGGGCCTCTGTTGATCTTGTTGGTTTCTGGGCTGGAACCAGCGCTCGGTCAGAAGGTCTACACCAACACATGGGCTGTCCACATACCTGGAGGTCAGGAGGAAGCTGATCGAATTGCCAGTAAACATGGGTTCATCAACTACGGACATGTAAGTAAAACGCTGCATTTTAGCAAGCTTTTTTTTTCTCTCCTGCATTTGCAGATGCATGAAGTTTAGAGATAATAAGGAAGTCAAAGTGCTGACATTTTACAGTAGTAGTGATACAGTGGCCACAAGAGAAAAAAACTACATTTTGACTATGCTAATATACTGTAGTGCTCATCGGCTTCCTAAATATTTGCAATGCTACGTGTTTAACATCAGATTAATTATTCATTTAGGTGTTTTTTATATTTTATCAATATCCAGATATGCTCACTTATAATTAAGCTGTGAGTTATTTATGATGCTCCTTTATTTTAAAATTCATTTTATTGGGCATTCCTGTTTGCCAAAGCTGTCAAAGAGCATATCTTATATATTTTTAGAGTATATCTTTATCTCTTTCTTTCTGTGGTTCTGTGTTTCCTCTTTCTTTTTATTTTTCACCCACCAAAAAAAAAACAAAAAAACACTACAGTTTTTAAAAGGTGTTAGTAATTGTATCTCTCAGATTAGTCAGTTAGAAAAGCTGCAGTGAAAACCAATGTTCAGTCTAAGCGCCTTCTTGTCAGTCATTCATTGTTGATTATGTATTTGTGTTGCAACGGGCGTGTTGCAAGGAGCTGGATGTTTTTCTGCCAACTGATAACATGGGCCTACTTCACAACAGCTACTCGCTCAAGCCTTAACAAGACTCTGTTCATCATGGTCTGATTAGTCTTGATGTGTAATTTTAACTATAAATATAACCCAACAATCACAAAGCTTGTCTGCCCTGTTCAGTTTAATCAGTCATACACACACAATTTTTATTAAAGCAATTAATTACAGATTGAGATCCCAGTGTTATAATTTACTTGTGGTTCTGTGTGACTCTGTATATTCAGAAACTCCCACAATAAGCCTTTGTGTGGAGTCTGGACAGAAAGCAGAAATACTGTCAATTTGTAGAAGCTGAAATGATGAAGTAAAAAAAAAAAAAGAAGAGGTCTTTAGGTAACTGCCTCGTCCATATTGAGAAAGCTTTAAATTATTAAGATCTTATTATGCCCATAGTTTTCCAGGCACAGTAGGTGTGGGCAGTGGATTACGGATAAACATTTCCTGTGTGCGTCAGTGACGTATTCCTCTGTTTATGACTTCCTGTTTGACTTCAGTGGAAACCAATTAGCCAAATTATCCCATAACATCATCATGTCCTCTCCTGAAAAAAAAAAAACCCAAAACAGTAAGAGTTGTAAATTAATTTAGTCTTCCGTAGGGCTACAGGAGTGTGTTTTGTCGTTGTTACTCATACAGCGTCTTCTTTGTCTTGGTTACTATTTAAAAGCCAAGTATTTCTTGCACTTAAGTGTTTGATACTTTTAGGGAAAGTGATGGAAAAAGCATTTTAATACCATTAAAAAAAGAGTTTTGAGTTTTGAGGTATCTTTGATGTACCTTTCTTTGCAATAAAATAATAGAAACTTGAGGTTGTAACCATTCAGTTGACTCTTCTTTGAACCACAGGCTCTATGAATAAACTTGCAAAGTATCTATCTGTCCAGTTTACCTAATCCTTCTGGATAGATGGGAAAACCTTGCAGTTGTGGGTGCTGTACTGACTACTCCAAATACCCTGTTTTTTTCCATTATTGACATTCTACAACATTTAATTTGCCAATTGCACAACCTACCTTTAGACATTCAGGCTCGGTTACGGTCGGTGTGACATGAAACTTAATGTGGTATATACACAGAATATATCATAGGAATCTAAGAATAGTTTTCATGCTAAATATGTTTCTGTAGTTTTTTTTTCTTTTTACAAAATGAAACACAAAGCCTAATAGTCAGAGAACATGCAGATTTTTAAGTCCCTCATCTCACCACTTTTCCAGGCAACATTGTTCTGTTTTGCTCTGTATGGTCTTACTGGTCATGACCAGGAATGTTATTTGTGCTGTGAATCACAGCGTGCAGACTAATGACTAATCCTACACACTTAAATCCTTTAACTATGTATTGGCCACGCACAAGGAAGAATCCAGACAATTACACCCATGTACTCACAGAGTACATGGGTGTAATTGTGTACTCTGTCCTGGAGATGATGAGCTGTTTGGTTTGGTGTGTGTCAGCAACTTGCTTTAGTATTTTATGATATTTTGAGGGAGAGAAAATGGACTGTTGTGTCTGACCTGAGCCGGATTGACGAGCTAGTTTTGACACAGTCTCTAAGATGGAAAAACGGCAGAGCAGGGGTCCGCCTAACGAAGCAGGCCTAATAAAGTTAGCTGGATAGATGCTGAGTAAAGCCTTTAGCTCTATCAAATCTGAAACACGGAGTGGAGTAAAAACAGATGTTCCAGGTTTTTAGCAGTTATCCTTCTTATTCAACCAGCTTCATGGGATAGATAGATGAGAGACAGATCTCTGATCTGGTGTACTTTTCTGTGCAGCAGAGAAGGTTGATCAGAATAACCCGGCTATGACCCACAGCAAGGCTTAAAAAAAAGAAAAAAAGAAAAAAAGGCCAAACTGACCCGGTATGTGCTCTGTGCAAATAACCATGACTTCCATTTTGTACTGCGTGGCATTTCATCATTACCTATGTTCTAATGTGCATGTGTCAGGCTGACACTTGATGAAAAAGTCAGTTTTTAAGTATTAAACAGAAAATCATGAGACGGATTCTGCCATAGAGGAGAATCTCTCTTTGCTTGTGCAAGTTATTCCTGCACTTCAGGCTCCTGTAGTACTGAAATGAAAAATTAATAAAATACATTATTAGGTCATCATCAAAATTCACCTGGTTGTGCTTCTCTGGCCTTTTTGCCACAGTGTAAAAATGGTTTAGTTTAGATCTGTTATGATAACTATTAATCAATTAGTCAAGCAAGAGGGAATTAATTGGCAACTATTTTAATAATTGATGGTGCAAAACTTTCTCTGGTCCTAGCTTCTCGAGCAAGACTTTTGAAGATGTCACTCTTGCGTTTTGAAAACTGTAAATATTTTATTGACCAATTGATGAGTAGGTAAAATAACCGATTGATTAATTAATAATGAAAATAATTGTTAGTTGCAGCTGTAGTTAAATTATCTGCTTCAGGCACTGGCTTCAGGAGGCCTTCAGCAGGGGATATACATCCCAAGAGCCCACAACACGACATTGCCGTGATAAACCTTTTGAATAAATGATATGGAACAGTCGCATCTGTTTAGCCCCTCAGCATGTTATTGAGGAATGCCCTCTGTTCATTAACTTTGAAAGGTCAGCTATAACCACAATGATGACTAAAATAAAGATGCTCATGTGTTGTGCACTGCCCTGACTGCATAACGTCACTGTTCACTGATTAAAATGAAGCCATTATGTTCGGGCTGGGGACAAACAAATCTGTTAAGCCATTTTTTGCCTACAGCTGATAGGAAATGAGAGTTGCTTTGTGTGGCCACGCATGGCGTGTCTGCGCTGTGGGGCTGTGCGTGTAGCTGTGTCTGACTGTGTGCAGGTGTTGGAATTAGGCAGGAGAGCTCGAGGGGAGGATCAAAGACTGCAGCTGCGCAGGTTTTATAGCTCTGATGCTGGTTGTTTTTATTTCCCCTTCATTCTACTCACACTATGGCATCCATACAACCTCTGCTCTAAACATGTCAGATCTTTATGTTCCTCCATCGTGATGCATTGAGCATGTTGTCATGAAGGTGGCTGTGTGTCGACGTATTTTTGTAAACACACCGATTTGATAGCAACAACATGTGAGCTCCGTGTTTAGCACCGCTGGCTTGTTACAGCCAGAGGGTTCTGGGTTCGATCTCCACAGCAGGCAACTTGAATCTTAGTTAACGAAGATAATTCTGACAACAGTGAGGCAGTTGTGACTCAGGAGCGGGTAATCTGATCCCTAATCACTAATCACAGGGTTGGCGGTTTGATCCCCAGCTCCTCATGTTCATGTGTTGAAGTGTCCTTGGGAAAGACACCAAATTGCTCCCGATGGTCAGACTACTTAGAGTGCGCGGTAGCTTGCTTCCATCTGTGTGTGAGTGAGTGAGTGAGTGAGTGAGTGAGTGAGTGAGTGAGTGAGTGAGTGAGTGAGTGAGTGAGTGAGTGAGTGAGTGAGTGAATGAGAGGTAAGGTTGTAAGGTGCTTTGGATGAAGGCACCAAACCAATGCATGCTGTTTACAACAAAGCTAAAAACCTAATTGTGCTACAGTGGACACTGCACCTATTGAGTAGTTCATAATATTTGTTTGTAAATGTAATACAGTATAACTCCTTAAATGCCTTAAACTGCAGGATTAGTTTTATTGCTGCATTTGCAATATGCATTACTTACATTGCAGATTAATCAGCAGGTTATTTTCTTGATTAATCCTTTGGTTTATAAAATGTAAATTGTGAAAAATGCCTGTGCTTCTTAGAGCTCAAGGCGACATCTTCAGATAACTTCTTTTTTTTTTTGTGTCTGCAGCAGTCCATAATCCAAAAACAGTTATTTTATTATGATGTTAAGACAAGGGAAAACAGCACATATACATATTTGGCATTTTTACTTAAAATATTATAGTATTTAATGTATAAATATATATAAAAAATATATAATATCATATAAAATGTTTCAGACAGATTCTCAGTTTGTTTTCTGCCCATTTGATGTGACTCTTTAGTCAGATTTGCTGGAGCATGAAAATGGTTGGCCAGCTTATTTTGTTTGTTTGGTTTTTTTTTTCCATAATGTTTACAACATCAGGAACACAGACAACTGGCTAATCATGTGGCTGACTGATGTGATGCATCTGTTCTTCTTTGTTGGTGCCAGTTCTTTAAGGTTGGTTTGGTTTGTCGGGGCCAAAAGTCACCTGGAGTCCATCCCTTTATCAGTCAGTACTGATCAATCAGGACAAGCTAGCCAATGTGACAGTGGTGCTGGGCGCTTGTCAGTGAGGAAACTTTATGGTAACATTGTCTGACAACAACTCATGTAAAACCCTGATGCAGAGCCCAAACTGTCTCTGC